ATTCCACCCCTGGCCCCCAGGACTCATGTACATCCTTTATACAATAAACATTTAGTCCATCTCCAAGAGTTGCCAAAGTCCTAACAGCTTCAACATTGCTGAAAAGTCCAAGTCCCAAGTCTCCTCCAAGATCTATGGCAAACTCTTAACTGTAGGCCCCTGTACAAAAGAAACAAGGTTAAATATTTCTGAAATGCAAAGGCACAAGATAAACCTTACCATTCCAAAAGTTAAAAACAGGAGAATAGAAAGCATTCGAAACAAAGCAATTTCAGCATCCAGCAGGGCAAACATTAAGTCCTAGAGTTCTACACTCAGCATCTTAATCAATCTGGTTGCAAGTTCCAAAAGCCTTGGGTGATTCCACCCCCAGGACACTTCCAGTGATTTCAACTCCCATAGCTTTTCTTTTAAATCCTCTCTGCTCGCTTTTTGCAGCTTTCCTTGGATCATCCACGTTCCTGGGTTTTCCAAACTTCTGGGGTCTCCAATGTACCTTCGGCGTCACACTTACATCTTCACAAATTGCCCTCTCAGAGGCACACTGCTTGGCCAGCCAGTCCCTTTGCAATCGAGGTGGAAGCCTTCTTACCCTCAGAATTTGTGCATTTTCCTTGCACCTAAAATCAGCACCTTGTGGATGCCGCCAAGGTTTGCTGCTAGCTGAAGCAATAGCCAGGCTTTTCTCTCTCTTGGCTGTAGGGGTCAGTTGCCTGGATCGCAGGGCTCTGTTTACCTGATTGTGATGAAAAGCTTCTCTACGTAGCCGCCTTTTTGGAAACTCATGTGGCCTCTATCATCATTCTGGAACCTCACATGGCCTCTTTCGCCATTCTGGAGCATGGCACTCTGTAGATTTTTGCTCTGAGCAAAATTTTTCATCTTTGCTGTGAGGCTGCACAGGGTGGGGACTTGCTTCCTGGGATGCCCCGGGGCCATCTTTCTTATCTCTCTGTTTCTCCTCAGGAATCAAAATCTCAACTCTGTCTTTACAATCCACACCCTTCCTGGAATCTTCCTTCGGGCCAAACTCACAGCATTGTACATTATCCTGCTGGGCTCTTTGCTCCTGATTTGAAACATAAAGCTGGCTAAAAGCTCCCAACAATAGCCATGTCACAGCCTCAATGTTTGATTGCTTTTTAATTTCTTTTTCAAGATTAATCAGTCCATTGCCCTTTGTCTCAGTCTCAGGCAAAGTCTCTGGGCAGGAGCAAAATGCAGACAAACTTTCTGCCAAGCCATAACACACATCATGTGGAGTCCAACAACCAATGCAGTACTTTCCAGCAGAAACCTCCCAAGCCTGGTCTTTACCAAGAGGCTTTCTATCATCAGCCTTCTGGTCTCCTGAACTCTGACCAGAATCTCCTCTACAGAACAGCCTAAGCTGCTCCAGCTCTATGCATCCAGGCGACATGTCCAAACCTTTCCAAACTCTGCCCACAAGCCATTTCCAAAGCCTCTTGAAAAACATGGCCAGGTATAGTCACAGCAAACGATCCCACTCTCGGTACCAAATTTCTGTCTTAGTTACTTTTCTCTCGTCGCTGAGACAAAATACCTGATGCCCAAGTTTGGGAAAGGAAAGGTTTCTTTCTTACAGATTTTGGAGGTTTCAGTCCACACTCAGTTGGCTCCAAGACAGGCAGGCATGGCTGGGCTGCAGTTCATGGCAGCCACAAACAGCAAACTTGAACCAGCAAAGAGAAAAACACACCTTCTTCCTGCCATTACATCACATCCTGGCTCCACCCCTATGTGGGTGGAGCACTGACACCATCAATCCAAGCACTATACAATGAACCATCACATATGAACAGTGCAAACTCATGAGGCCTGGGGGACACAAACATAAACCATGACAAGGTCCCACATTTATTCATGATAAGAACCTTACAGAAAACTGGAATAGATGGTCTTTACCTCAATATAATTAAGGGCATCTACGACAAACCAACAGCCATTATCATACTAAATGGCCAAAAACTGAAAGCCTTTACTTTAAAATCAGGCACAAGACAAGGGTTCCCTTATCACTGCTCCTATTTAATATAGTACTGGAAATACTGGCTGGAGCAATTAGACAAGAGAAATAAAAGGAAGATAGGAAAAGAAGAAGTTGAATTATCATTATTTGCAGATGACATGATACTCTATATAGAAGATCCCCAAAACTTCATTGAAAGACTCCTAGATACAATAAATAAATTCAGTAATGTAGCTGGATACAGAATCAATACTCAAAAATCAATAGCATTCCTATACACTAACAACAAAGTCACAGAGAGAGAAATGAGAGGCTACACCCTTCACACTAGCAACCAAAAAAATGAAATATTTAGGAATTACTTTCATGAAAGAAGTGAAACACCTATACAGGAAAAATTATAACACACTAGAAATGAAATTGAAGATGATCTGAGAAAATGGAAAGACATCCCTTGCTCATGCATAGGAAGAATAAATATTGTGAAAATGGCCATTCTCCCAAAACTTTTATACAGATTCAATGCAATCCCAATAGAAATACCATCAACATACCTCATAGAACTCGAGAAATCACTCCTAAAATTCATCTGGAGCAAGAAGACACCTAGAATAGCAAGGACAGTACTAAGCAGCAAAGGCAAGACAGGAGGTATCACAATCCCTGACTTGAAGTTATACTACAAAGCAACTGTAGTAAAATCAACATGGTATTGAAATCAAAACAGAGCCGAAGATCAATGGAATAGATTAGAAGATACAACCACAACTACCAAAACACTCAACCACCTTATCTTTGATCAAGGAGCCAAACAGGTTCACTGGAAGAACGACAGTCTCTTTAATAAATGGTGCTGGAAAAACTGGCTCTCCATTTGCCGAAAACTAAAGCTAGACCCATGTCTATCACCCTGTACTAAATTAAAATCTAAATGGTTCAAAGATCTGAATATTAAAACAGAAACACTAAATCTATTGGAAGACAAATTGGGTAGAAACGTTGAAGACATAGGAGTAGGTAGAGAATTCATGAACAGGACTCAAACCGCACGGGAAATACTTCCCAGAGTCAATAACTGGGACCACCTCTTATTAAAAAGTTTCAGCATGTCAAAAGAAATCTTCAGCATAGTGAAAAGAAAACCCACAAACTGGGAAAAATCTTAGTGAACTGCCCCTCAGACAAAGGACTTCTGTCTAAAACATAAAGAATTTAAAAAAATCAGAACCCCAAAATTCAAAGACCCAATCCAAAAATGGGCATCTGAGATGAATAAACAATTTTCAGATAAAGAAATACAAATGGCACATAAATACATGAAAAAATGTTTGCCACCACTGGTCATTATAGAAATGCAAATTAAAGCCACACTGAGATTTCATCTAACTCTTGAAAGAATGGCCAAGATCAAGAAAACCAACAACAACAAATGCTGGAGAGGCTGTGGGGAAAACGGAACTCTTCTGCACTGTTGGTGGGAGTGTAGACTAGTGCAACTATTGTGGAGGTCAGTCTGGAGATTTCTCAGAAAGCTGGGACTGGAAACACCATTTGACCCAGCTATTCCACTTCTAGGCATATTCCCAGAAGAACTGAAAGCATCATACCACAGTGATATATGTGCATCCATGTTTATAGCAGCACAATTTGTAATAGCCAGATCTTGGAAAAAACCTAAGTGTTCATCAACTGAGGAATGGATAAAAAAGTTGTGATATTTTTATACAATGGAGTACTATTCAGCTATAAAGAATGATTACATTGAGATATTTATAAATAAGTGGACGCAGCTTGAGACCATACTCATAAGTGAAATAAATCAAACTCACATGTATAAACACCGAATAGTTTCCCGAGTGTAAGAAATGATAAGAATACATAAAATATGTGGTAATCATGATTCTCAATCATATTGGTTTGAATCCATATAATGTTATCACTCATTAATTGCAATGATTTTAACCTGGGTTGTTCAATTTTAGTATCGGTGATAGTACGAATTGCTTTTCTGAAGAAAACAACACATCATAAAATCTAGTGCTGATTTAATATCATCTTGTTTTGAAGTCCCATCAAGCTGTTGTACATCTGTTTGCACTAGTCTTAACATGTGGTATCTTACTATATTTTACTATAGGTGGTAGTATAAACAAAAAATTTTTATAGGCAAAGAGATAATATAGAAACCATTGTTGGTTTTCTGTTAACTGGTTCTAAATACCCTGTAACTTCTTCATTCTCTTGAATAGCTTCAGTCTGTCTTGATATGCTTGATGCTGTACTATATGAAGTTATACTCAAACAATACAAGGAAGGAAGCACTAATGTGACTACTATTGTGTTAGATTATCTGGGGGTACAACACAATGATGCTTAAATTGTTCGCTTTTGACCTGTGTTGTTCTAATACAATGTCCTCTTTTATCTCAATCTCCACCCTTTTTAAATTAATCTATTTTTTTCAATTAAAGAAAAACTAAATTAAAACGTGGGATATATTATAGTAACTTTTTTGTTTTCCTGTTAACCTGATATGAACCCCATTATTGCTCTCCCCATCTTTTTCTGTCAGATTTTACTATATTCTATTTTGTTTGATAGTATCAAGTTTGAGGGTATGGGCAACCACTTTGAAGGCAGTAAGATTCACTATGATGCCCATTATGGTTTGATTATTATCTTCTTTTGAAATCCTGTAAGGTCTCCAGTGTAGGTTTTATTGGTCTTGTTCTGTATTGTTTGGATCAATTCTATTATACCTGATGATATAGGCAACTCTTTTTAAAAATAGAAAGACACACAATGGTACACATTTTTGGTCACCTGATATTCTATTTTTGCATCATGTACTATGCCCATCCTTCTGTTCTAACCGACTCTGTTTTGTTTAGTCACGTTAGGTTTTATTCTTTTCAAAAAAAGTAATAAGAACTGTGGTAGTAAAAAAAAAAACCCAAAAGTGTAATTTGTAGGGAGCCGAGTGACAGGCATTGCTGCCTCGATGTCTCTCTCTCTCTCCTATGGGCACTGCGTCTGCCTACATTAACCATAATCCTCTTCTGCTTATGTCACGTATCCGGATGTGATGGTAACCCTGTTGTATTCATCTGTTTAACCTCTTCCTGTCCCAGCTCCCGCCCTTAGCCTATAAAAGGTGTGATTATTTCCTGAATAAACCGGAAGCTTGATCAGATTATTTCGACTTGCTTTCGTCTCTTTTTGTCTCCCCCATGTCTTTTATTTAATCCCCGTTTCCCCTCCAGGAGTTCTGAACTTGTTGATCTGCAGGCCGGATCAAGTGTTGCCCAACGTGGGGCTCCAGGCACGGAGAAGTTAACGAGGGAGCCGTTCGAGAGACAGCCGGCTTAAACTGAAAGTGAAAGCAAATTGAACCAGAGACCGCGGTCGAGGAATGAGTAAACTGAATCAAGGATTAAAGCTTAAAGCAACAGGACATTAAATCAAGTGCCGAGACCTGCGCAGACGACTACCCGACGTCCTGCCCGAGTCACGGTGAGTGAACGGCAACCCCATTTCCCTTCCCCGACATGGGTCAAGTATTGAGCAAACATGAAGTGTTCATCGGAGGCCTTATAAAGGCATTAAAGACAAGAGAGATAAGGGTTGGAACAAAAGAATTATTACAGTATTTTCAGTTTATTCATAAGGTTTGCCCTTGGTTCCCCCTAGAGGGTTCTATAGATACCAAGAGGTGAAATACAGTAAAAGATGCTTTAAAAGATTATTATAGAGTTTTTAGGGCTGGAGGTTTAGCTCAGCAGCATAAGCGCCTGACTTGTAAGCAGGCAGTCGTGAGCTCAATCCCCAGTACCGATAAAATGGAAAAAGACAAAAAAAAAAAAAAAAAAAAAAAAGATTATTATAGAGTTTTCAGTCCAGAAAAGGTTCCTGTGACCACCTTTACATATTGGAATTTAATTTCTGAGCTGCTTGCCCAGAGGCATGCAGACCCTCAGGTTGAGGAGACAGTTGCGCTGGGTGAGGCTGCCTTGCGCGACTCCCTTAAATCTACCTCAAAACCGTCCTCAGAAAAATCTGAAGCCTCTAATTTCTCAGATGCAGAGAATGATGGCCTGTTAGAGGTCCTCATACATGGTGATCTGCCACCACTTCCACCTGTTGACATGATCAGCAGGTCCCAGGACGGCAGCCCTCCACTCCCTGTGCCTCCATGGCAAATTGGGGATTCATATAAGCCTTTAAAAACAACCTTAACTCTGAAAAGCTTGCAGCCGCACAGCAGCTGGTGCAGGACCAGTTAGATGCAGGCCACATTGTTCCTAGTAATTCCCCTTGGAACACACCTATCTTTGTTATCCGGAAAAGGTCAGGAAAGTGGAGGCTGCTACAAGACCTTAGGGCAATAAATAAGACAATGGTCTTAATGGGGCCCCTACAGCCAGGCCTCCCCTCACCCAGTGCCATTCCTTTGGGATTTTTTTAAAATTGTCATAGATCTTAAAGATTGCTTTTTCTCTATTTCTTTACATTTCATGACTTCCAAAAACTATTGGGAGACATTAATTGGCTCATACCATTTTTAAAACTAACTAAACATGATTTACAGCGCCTTTATGCGCTGCTTCGGGGAGACATAGATCCAACTTCCCCCCGAGAGCTTACACCTGATGCCAGGAGAGCGCTCAGTAAAGTAGAAGAGGCTATTGCTCAACAAACTGTTTCCTTTATGGACTACAATGAGCCTTTACAGTTTCTCATTTTTAATACAAAGCTTTGCCCCACAGCAGTGTTCTGGCAACAAGCTCCCCTCATGTGGGTCCATTTACCAGTCTCTCCAAAAAGAACACTTTTGCCTTATTTCCAAGCTGTCTTGGACCTAATAATCCAGGGTAAAAAGCAAGGAAAATGTTACTTTGGCAAAGAACCAGACATTATCATTCAACCTTTTACAAAAGACCAAATAGATTGGCTACTTCAGAGTACGAAAGTGTGGCCTATTGCCTTAGCTTCCTTTTCAGGGACTATTGACAATCATTACCCTCCAAATAAGCTAGTTGACTTTGCTAATCGTCACTCATTTATATTCCCTAAAGTCACAGCTTCGCAACCCCTTCCAGGTGCCCTGGTTTTATTCACTGATGGCTCATCCTCTGGAAGGGCTGCTTATGTATCTCAAGACAATGTTTCTACCCTCCAGGCAGATACTTCCTCTGCACAATTAGCAGAGTTAGAAGCTATTCTTGCAGCTTTTGCTGCTTACTCTAACCAACCATTTAATTTGTATACTGACAGTGCTTACCTTGCTCAGTCTGTTCCATTATTAGAGACTGTTGCTACTATATGTCATGCTTCCCCAGCTGCAAATCTGTTCAAACAATTACAATGCTTCATACGGCTTCGCTGTCATAAGTTCTTTATCGGTCATCTGTGAGCTCATTCCAACCTCCCAGGGCCTCTTGCCCAAGGAAATCATTTGGCTGATGTTGCTATACGAGCACAGGTTTTTATGGCTCAGGACTCCAAGGTGTCTGAGGCCCAACAAGCCCATCAGCTACACCACCTCAATGCTCACACCCTCCGCCTTCTCTACAAAATTACCCGTGAGCAAGCCAGACAAATTGTAAAAAATTGTCCATCTTGTGCTATCCACTCACCTGTTCAACACCTAGGAGTCAACCCTAGAGGTTTAATTCCTAACGCCTTATGGCAAATGGATGTTACCCATTTCAATGAGTTTGGCAATCTAAAATATGTACATGTCATTATTGACACTTACAGTGGCTTCATTTTTGCCACTCTCCAGACTGGAGAAGCTGCTAGACACATTATAGCCCATATGCTGTCAGCCTTCTCAGTTCTGGGATGTTGTCAACAGCTTAAGACCGATAATGGCCCTGGCTATACCAATACCTCCTTTGCTCAATTTTGCAAGAGCCTTAATATCCTCCACACTACAGGTATACCTTATAATCCTCAGGGACAAGGCATTGTTGAATGTGCGCATCGTTCTCTTAAATTCACCATAGATAAAATAAAAAGGGAGATATGGTACCCCACCCAGGGGTCCCCTAGAAATGTCCTTTCACATGCTCTTTTTATTTTAAATTTTCTGACCCTGGATGCTTCAGGCTGCTCTGCAGCATCTCGGTTTTGGCATACTCAGACTCAAACATGGTTTGCATCTGTTTTATGGAGAGACCCACTAACCAATGTGTGGAATGGCCCTGATCCAGTCCTTATCTGGGGATGAGGTTCAGTGTGTGTTTACTCTCAACAAGATAGAGAAACTAGATGGCTACCTGAACGCCTTGTAAAGCAAATAGACAGTTCTTCAAAGACCCCATGTAATGCCCAGGAATAATGTTATTTCCTGAGGCACAATCCCCTGTGTTCTCTTACAGGTGACACATCTCCCTGGAGCCTTATGCTGCTTAGCCAGCCTTCTTGAGCCACACCACACCCATGGTGGATTTTGATCCCTGCCAAACAGACTACAACTGCTGACAGCCATGCACAGAACCCCATGACTGCGGAAGAGGCTCTTCTCGGTCTGGAGGAACATACACCAGCCAAATAGACTGCATCCAGTGTTATACAAGGCATGCTCCAAGACACAGGAGAATGACTTCATACAGAGACACCAACAGATGGCTGTCAACCCCTTCTCCTCGATTGGGGAGGGGGGTTTCCCTTACCTTATGCCCCTTTTGGGTCCCCTAGCTGACCTATTGTTTCTCATTTCTGTGAGTTCTTGTATTTTTCAGAGGATTATGATGTTCATTAATAACCGGATAGACGCATTTATGGCAAAGCCCATTCAGGTACACTATCATCAGCTGGAGATGGCAGAGCAACAAACCTACTGGGAAGGAATTCCCACAGTGGCCCATATGATGATGTGGCCTAACTGCCCTGGAGCAATGGACAGGCAGTCAGAGACGGGCAACTAGGACATACATGTTAATTCCAACGGCCACCTAAGACAGGCACAGGACCAACTGCTGTTCTGCAAGCCCATGACGGGTAGGGCCTGGTTGGGTTCATGCAATGAGGTCCTTGACCTAAGACAGACGCTGTCCTCACAGGGCCTGCCATACTCTTAATTAAATAATATAAAAAGGGAGGAGATGTAGGGAGCCGAGTGACAGGCATTGCTGCCTCGATGTCTCTCTCTCTCTCCTATGGGCACTGCGTCTGCCTACATTAACCATAATCCTCTTCTGCTTACATCACGTATCTGGATGTGATGGTAACCCTGTTGTATTCATCTGTTTAACCTCTTCCTGTCCCAGCTCCCGCCCTTAGCCTATAAAAGGTGTGATTATTTCCTGAATAAACCGGAAGCTTGATCGGATTATTTCGACTTGCTTTCGTCTCTTTTTGTCTCCCCCATGTCTTTTATTTAATCCCCGTTTCCCCGCCAGGAGTTCTGAACTTGTTGATCTGCAGGCCGGATCAGTAATTGTTATTAAAAAGAGAGGAAAGGAAGGTGGTCTAAGGGATATAATTGCATGTATGTTTGAGTGTGTAGTCTGGAAATCTATATTACTGTTAGCTTTTGTTGGATCATTGAATGGCACTGTCTGCAATCTCATTGTATGAATGTACACTTTATATGCTTTAATTTTATAATTTGTACAACTGTTTCTAAGATGACAATATGTAACCTATTAACTAGTGATATCTTACTGTATTTTTTTCTTGAAATTCTGTATTATTTGTACCCTTTTACTGCTTTGTTTTTTTAATTTCCTTTCTTTTTTCCTCTTTAAATTAAAAAAAAGAGAGAGATTAACCAATAACAAATGCTGGTGAGGTTGTGGGAAGAAAGAAACCCTTTTGTATTGTTGGAGAGACTGTCTTGATTTCTTAAAATACAGGTACAAACTCCATGCATGGTAAAATCACCATGTGCATGCCAATAGATAATAATACTATGACACTACTACATTAGAAGAACTATCATTCTTCTAATGATACTACAATACTACAACTAATGAGGCTCAGACACACAAGCTTACATATTCCATGGTCTTTCTTATATGAAAATATCTCTCCCTCTCTCTGTCTCTCTGTCTCTCTGTCTCTCTGTCTCCCCCCTCCACATGACACAAAGACAGAGAGAAAAGGTATTGTGATTCAATGTGAACAATGTATCTAACTGTGTACCTTGACTATTGAGTACAATTGTCTTACATGTTTTATACATGTTTGGACTAAGAATATATTATCTGTATATTTGATAATTAATTGCATAAGGTCTTATAAGATAAATGCATGAATGTAATATTGGAAAAATAGAAGGGGTGATGGGAAGGATGAGCAACAGAATTTGAATGTTTACATACATGTACCAATCCCATAAAGTGAATGTAATAATTATCTACAGCAAATATATACTAATAAAAGTAAAAATAACAAAGCATTTGAAGAGACTGGACAAAAGTTCAAAAGTATAAAACTATTTTTAGAAAATGTCATCTACCTTAATATGTTTGGTGCCAATGGTAACTTGAAAGACTATTTAAAAAGGATTGGCCTTTTCCAGTTTGATTCACAACATTCTATAGTGATTTCTGGTTAATTTGTATACTTGTATATTTGTATAATTTGTATATTTGTATACTTTGCCAGGGCAAAAAATATTAAATGTTTCACAATATAGAAACAGCAATTTATAAAACTGCTGGAAAGAAGAATTATGCTAATAAAGACAATGTAAACTATTAATCCACCCATATGCATGGAAATAATGTATTTAAAATGAGCATACTATGTAAAATGTGTATTATTTATACTTGTCATAATATCATTATTTATTGGCATGTACATGATAATTTTAACATGCATGTAGTTTCTACCTGTATTTTAAGAAATCAAACATTGCTTCACTGTTACAAAGGGATTATTTTGCTAATACGAGAGACCCATTAATCTAATTACATTCATGTATCATTATAATACATAAAACAATACATATGAATGTTGAAGCAATTAGATCAAATGTCATGAATGAGAAACTCAGTAATATAATAAGGATATTTATTTTTCTTTGTGAGCTTTATGGCTTTGGTTTTTGTCTCAGGAATATTTTTATATCCTTGACCTGAGATATGGTAGAATGACAATGAGAAGAAAAAAAGAGAAAACAAGACACATTACTTTGGCGCTCTGTGTTGCATTTGCTGATTGTCTATATTTGGACACTATTATATGGTTTTGACATTTGTCTACATTTTTGTGTGTGTGCTTGGTACTCCAGGATACACATTTGGAAAGCACATTATGCATCCTTTAATTCAATATTGAAATTATCACTTATGAAGGGGCTTAACAGATGTCCTTTTAAATCATTCTCTTAGCTTTGTTCTTGCATGAAATAATAGTATTTCCACGAAATCTTGACAGCACAGTTGTAACATTTGCCTGCAGAGTCCAGAAAAAGTTCACAAACTACCAATTAAAGTTTAAATCTTTAGTTTCCAATTAAAATTTATAATTTACTGGTATATAAATTTATGAAGGAAATTATAACTACACTAATGGGTGTGAGTATGAAAAACTTTGTTGATTTTATGCTTTATGGGTAGGTTTGATTTTAGGCTAAAATATTAATTTTTAGATATAATGCGTATTTGAGCCAGATGATGGCTCGTAAATCATTTCTTTCCTTGAGAAGACCTGGGTTGCTGAGCACCAAGTTTAACTTTCTGTTGGCTCCCTGCTTCTGCATGTTTATTAATAGTTACAGTTTAAACTTGTTTATTTTTACCAACTAGCACCTGTATGATACAGGTTGCTTTTGAAAGGATTTTGCCCTAGATAGGACAGTACAGCGGTAAGAGGCGGGATCAAGGAACATTTACTTTGAGGGCATTTTCCTGCCCCTAGGCAATTTATCTGTGGTGCAAAATGAGTTTCAATCAGCTGCTGGCGCATCAGTAATGCCCCTTTAGGCACCACCCCAGACCAAAGCTATATGCATGCTCCCCACACCACGTGTCCAGCAGAGAAAGCCAGACCCCTGCGGTCACGGAGTTTCTCTCCACATCCTTAAAATAAAGGCCACTTTACTTTATATTCTGTCTTCTACCCACACCAAAAATTCTATCAGTTTTAAAGGATACAATTTATAAGTGTTATGAAAATAACCAAAATGTATTTAACATATTCACACCAGATATTTATAACATTTAAAACAAAATGCCACAGAGGAAGTAAATCTGGGATGTCATCCAATTATTTGAAGTCATATTTTAATCAGGTAGATATAAGGAGAATATTTCATTTTAGAAACCTGTAGAGGAGTTATGAACTTCAAAGTTATATTTTCATGACCTGAAAAACTCCATATATACACCTGAAACTCTTCCACTCCTGATTATGTCATTTTAGGACTCTTTAAACCGCTCTGCCAGCTTGTAAAACCTTAGCTGTCTCCAGTCTACTGTTATACTTATTTCACTAAACTCCAAATCGTGTGCTTGGTACTCTGGCTAAATGTTTCAGCGGCTCTCAAATGCCATGCAGTGCAGGTCAAGTTTCTTGACTTGGCCTCACAGCCTTCACAAACTGGCCTAGACGACTTTAGTCATCCGTGGCGGCACCAGCCCACTAGACTCTGCTCTCTTACCAGATGTTCTTGTTCTTAAATCTCAAGGGTCATTTTCAGGGACTCCATCACTGATGAACGCCCTCACGTGGTCTCTGCCAGCCCCAGCTCAGCTCATCCTTCTGGGCTCAGTTCAAACAGTTCAAATGCACTTCTACTGCAATACTTCCTCTTTCTCCAAGGAGGAAAAACCATTCTTTTCATATGGAATTATGGGAGCAACTGTCACATCTATAGTTATTGTAAATAAGTTAGTGGTAGAGAGCAGTAAGAACACTTTTTAACTGCATAAACTTTAAAGTCTGTGAAAATTAGTTTTAAATTTATGTCTGCTTTTAAAAGGATGACTTTGAGAACTCTAATCTCTCGTTTTAATTTTCTAATCAGAAAAAAAACAAGAATAGTGGAACCTTTTTTGTAAATATTTGGGAATCATTTATTCCTTTATATTTATTTATTTTTTATTTTAAAAAGCAAAACAGCAAAAAGGATAGAAATGATACAGAATTTCAAAACAATAGTAGGAAATCAACAATAGCTAATTTGGGAGTGATTTTTAAGTACTAAACTGGATCCTGTATGTAAAATACTTTGCACAGTAGCTGGAGTAAGTATTCATTTTTATTTCTTTACAATTCTCATCATCCCAGGAATCAACTAATGCACTAACAAGCCTGTCTTCTGAAGCATACTTACAAGTATTATTGACTGAAGAAACATAATTGATTGTCCATATCACAAAGAGCACTATTTTACAAATGGTGTTCAAGAAATATTTATTGAATGAATTAATCAATGTTTCACTTTAGGCAAAGCTATTCTGAGCTTATCCAAAATAAACATTCAAAGTAAACATCTCTTTGAATCTTATAAGCTCCTTTATAAAATGGAGTAATAATTTATAAAAGCATTATAGCAGTGAACTTCTTTTAGTTCTTGTTTTCACATAAAATAACATTTTTTATCATATATATTACTGAGATACAAGTAAGATATCTATGTAGTATTCAGTCAATCAAAAGAACAGGAAATCTCTGGAACACTGATTTAATTAGACAAACTCTGGATTTTGAGTATCATATATAACGAAAGATGACTACTAGTAATATTGATATTAATAATGAAAATTGACATTTACTTATACACTTCATGTGTCAAGGTAATTCTCACAATATTTGGGCACCATGTTAAATGCATTCCTCTTAAATTCGTTAAAATATAAAGGTAGGTAGATTTAAAAATGTATTTCTGTACCAATTTCACTGTACGATCTTAGTTGGCTTTATTCTGACTTGTTCTGTTGTATATTTTCAAAATAAAATTTAAAAAAATATATGAACGATACATTTGGTCAGCTAGGCAATAATACAGCATGAAAAGGTCTACTATGAAAAGCAACTGGTTTGGATGAAACATGTCTTTAAAACACATCTGTGGTGATGGAATTAAGGGAAACACCAAAAACCTGTCTTGCCCAAACAAGCAAATAAAGTGAGACTAAAAAGCATTGAGCACTAAGGAGAGATTAAAACAACTTGATCCAAAAGCAAATGCCAATATCTACTCTGTAATTTGGATTCTAGAGTTGGGCCAGGGGAAGGTTGCCCAAAGTTTATGCCACCTCTAGGGTTCTGTCAAAGGCAGTTGCATAATCATTGTGAAGTAAGCCTTTAAGCTCTCCCTGATAGAGCTCGAAGCCTAAGATCACCAATCATGGAAGCCAGCTTCCCTTGGAGTGGGAATTGTCAGTAAAGGAAGGAAGTGAAATTTTTACAAGTCTTCAGATATTAGAACTAGTTTAACTAGAATATAAAATACGTGTGAGTTTTTCAGACTCTAATTGACAAAATGGGAGCTGGGGATTTAGCTCAGCGGCGTAAGCGGTGATATATTTAACATGTATTTGTAAACTTTGAAATGTGGAATGAGTAAAATCAGATATAAAGGCCCAAATATAAAGACTCAGTCCATAAATGGGCATCTGAAATGAATACACATTTCTCAGATGAAGAAACACAAATGACAAATAAATATATGAAAAAAGTGTTCAACATCACTGATCATACAAAAGATGCAAATTAAAACAACACTGAGATTCCATCTCACCCCAGAATGAATAGTTACCATTAAGAAATCAACTAATAACAAATGCTGGAGGGGCAGTATGGGAAAAAGAACACTTCTCCACTGTTCTGGGAAGGTAGTCTGGTGCCACTATTGTGGAAATCAGTGTGGAGATTCCTTAAAAAGCTAGAATTAGAGAGTCCATTGAACTCAGCTATTCCCCTCTGAGTATCTTCCCAAAAGAATTAAAAACATTATACCATAGCAGTACATGTGCATATATGTTTATAACAGCACAATTTGTAATAGCTAAATTTTAGAAACAACTCAAATGTCCATCAACTGAGAAATGTATGAAAAGGATGGTTTTTTAAAATATAATGGAGTACTACTTGCCATAAAGAGGATAAATATGAGATTTTTATAGATAAATGGGTGTGTGTGACACCATACTCACAAGTGAAATAACTCAGACCCACATATGTAAACACTGCATTGTGATGTGAAAATCCAAATGAGTAAATAAGACTGAAATGGTAGAATAGATATTGTGAACTGGAAAGAAACAGTTCAAAAGAAAAAGAGAAACAGATAGGGGAAAGGGGAAAAGAAGGAAAACAAGAAATAAATACACACAGAGAAGGTAGCAAAGACAAGTTATAGTTAGTTTTTTTTTTTTTTTTTTTAGTTTTTTGAAAAGAAAGACTTACACTAATATCATCTGGACATTATTTCATTCCTGTATCTTGTACTATAACTGCTATGATGATAACAATATGGAATGTATTAATTATTGTTACTCTATTAGCCTGATTTGAAACTCTGTTTTATTTCATTTCTATTTTTCTTCTCTTTAAAATAAAAAAATCCTAAGATAATTTGTTCTTTTTTGATGCTATTATAAATGGAATTGTTTCCTTAATTTAATTTTGTTTGTTCATTTCTAGAGCACAGTAACAAAATTCTGTCCAAATTTTGCCTGTAGATTCCAGTCAATCCCTGTGAATATCCCAAGTGAGACTTTTGTAGGGGAAAATGCTGAGAAGGTGTCTACAAGT